GGCACGGGCTGGGCGGCCTGCGTGGGGACGTGAGGCTCAGGCTGGACGGCCCGTTAAGCGCAGATGGGAATCACGTGTGGCGGCTGGCCCGGCAGAGGCTCTGGGGCCGAGCGCTGCATTCAGGGCAGCCAGTGGCTGGGGTGGCCGGGAGCTCAGGCAGGGGAATGTCTGGAGGCCAGATTCCCCGCCGGGGGACAAGTGCTCAGAGTCCCCCCTGGCAGTCCCCTCCTCCCCACTCGCCAGCCCCTTCCTTCTCGCTCGCCAACACGGGGGCGAGATCAAGGCTGGACGCCCAGTGGCCGAAGCTGTTCCTCAGGCTGTGTGGGCCAGGGCACAGCAGGACGGAGCTCTGTGAGCCTCAGTTTCTCCACCCGTGTGTGGGGTCAGATCCTCCGTGTGTGGAAGGGGAGGGCGTGGACAGCAGAAGCCGTTGTTTTGTCCGAGCATACATCAGGTCGTGTCATTCTCTCTTTTGTAACCTTCCTCTCTGCCAAAGAGGCGTAAGGGCGGCCCCGCCCCTCGGGGCTGTGAGGACGAAGTGAGGCAATTCCTGTGAACCTCGGCACAGGGCATCCGGTCCCCCGGAAGGCAGGTGCCGCTGAGATGATGCTGTTAGTAACAGTGACGGCAAACCCGCTGCCCAAGGCAGGTCCAAGGTAACCCGCCCACCAAGCACAGCCCTTTCCCCAGGAGCTGGGCTGGTGGGGCGAGACTTGTCGTGCTTCCCTTCCTCTTCCTTATGGCCCAGAGCCCGGCCCGGGAGGTCGTGAGGACTGAGGAATGGGCCAGGACAGGCACAGATCCGGCTCTGCCCGGGCCCCGGGGTCACCCGGTGCTCTGGGTGCACACAGGATCCGTCACGTCTCCTCACCCTGCGACCTCATTCCCGCCACCTCTCCCCCTGACAGCTCCTGGGTCACACCACGTGGCCCCTCACCACAGGCCCTTTGCATGTGTGGCTCTCGCTGCCGTCTCCCTCCCGGGACTCCATTGTTTGAAAATTGCAGGATTCTTCCCTTTCTGTGCTTCAGGCTCGATGGTCACCTCCTCAGAGAAGTGCTCCCTGAACCCCTGTGCAAAGCAGCTCCCAGCCTTTCTGCTGATTGTGTTTTCATAGGTTTATCAGCAACCGAAACGGTATCTTCTCTGCTTCCTGTTTGTCTCCCCACCTGGAGGGCAGCTCTATGAAGACTGGCGCCTGGTCTGACCTGTTCCTCAGGTTCCCCGGGGTCTAGAATAGAGGCTGGCACACTGCCATCACTCCGAGAACTCTGTGGGATGGACGGAAAGTGACGGAGGATTACACAGAGCAGGCGGAGCACGGAGAGTGCCCAGCACAGCCCGGCTCCTGGCCAGTGCTCCCCGCACAGCACTGAGGAGCACTGCTGCTGCTGTCGTTGCTGTGGGTCCCCTCCAGCCAGGCAAAAGCGTGGCTCCTCCCTTCTGCCCCTCCTCCGGGATCCCTCCCCGTGCCCAGGCCCCCGCCGCCGCTGCTGTGCCCTGTCCCCGTCATGGCTGGGCCCAGCCTCTGGTTTCCTGTGGGAAGAAGAGCATCCCCCAAGAATAAGGTGACCAGACGTCCCGATTTTTAACAGTTTGTCCCGCGTCCCGCGGCATTGACTTTTTTAAAATGCCGCGGGACGCGGGACAAATTGTTGTTTTAAAATATATATTTTTTTATTAATTCTTTACAGAGAGGAAGGGAGAGGGATAGAAAGCCAGAAACATCGATGAGAGAGAAATATCGATCAGCTTCCTCCTGCACAACCCCCGCTGGGGATGTGCCCGCAACCAAGGTACATGCCATTGACCGAAATCGAACCTGGGACCCTTCAGTCCACAGGCCGAAGCTCTATCCACTGAGCCAAACTGGTTTTCGGCAAATTGTTAAAAATTGGGACTGTCCTGCCAAAAGCGGGGCGTCTGGTCACCTTACCCAAGAGGTGAAGGGCAGTGTGAATGGGCAGTCAGCCGGAGCAGTGAAAACACTAGGAGTCCTCTGGCAGCCATCTCCAGCGTGTCCACCAGCGTTGGATAGGAGTGGAGTGGGGTGGGAGGAGATAAAAGGAATTTCATATTTATTAATCTATGAATTCCTTTTAATATTTATTACCCCCCCCCATCTGCTTGGGGGTCCTGCTGAAACGTGACTTAGGGGCTGCACGGAAAGACTGGTTGACTGGGGGCCTCCGCTGGCTGAGTCTGAAGCCTGGCTCTTGGCGAGATGGGGCTCCGAAATGCAGCCTGGACCTGATGCCGGGGGCGGGGAAAAGGGGGTGGCGGCCTCGGAGCCTCGTCGGGGGGCCTGGCACAGGGTGGGTGGTGAGGGGTCCAGGACCAGGTGTTCCGGGTCCAGCTCTGCCCTGTCTCACCTAAGCACAGCTCTGAGCCTCTTTTTCCCCATCGGCAAAGCGGGGATCAACAACTGCTCCTTCTTGACCCATAGCTCTGTGGAAGGAAGCCAGCTTGGAAAATGCGGGAGCGGTTTGCAGAGGAGTTCCACTCTCTCAAAGACACTCCCTCCCACCTCACCCAAAGCAGTGATGGCGGGTGTTTTGATTCTGTCTTTAAAAAAAAATTGGGGTCCATTGGTCAACGTGATATAGGTTTCAGGGGTGGGTTTCTATGTTACAAGAGCACCGTGTGCTCTGAGGATGTTGATTCAGAGGTTCTGAGCAATTCAGGAGGCATTCAGGAGGAAGAGGAGGAAGGCAGGGGGAGGAGGAAGAGGAGGAAGGCAGGGGGAGGAGGAGGAGGCGGTGATGGTAGGGGTCAATGCTTACCTCAGAGTAGTTTCAGGGGAAGGGTTTCTGAAAAGTCTGTTTCCTGTAGTGATGGAGATCAACTGGAATGCCAATCCTTATTCTGAGGCTCCTTGGCTGTGTGACTTTGGACAAGTCACTTGACCTCTCTGAGCCTCATTTTCCTCATGTATAAAGGGGATAACTACGGCTCCCAACCCCAGGGGGCTGTGAGGAGGAAATGAAGTAATTCATGTAAAACTGCATAGAGAAGCTTTGGACAGCAGCAATTCTCTGTAGAAGCCAGGTGCCGCTGTTATGATGATGTTAATAACAGTGACGTAAACCCCCTGCGCACTGGCAAGTCCTAGGGTAACGCATCCATTAAGCACAAAACCTTTCCCAAGAGCTGGTGGGCGGGAGGAACCAGGCCGCCCTTCCCTTTCTATCTTGGGCTCCCACCTAGTGGCAAAGACCGGAACTACAGCCACTGGAAAGTGCTAACCTCACCGCCCATCCTCAGGCCCCTGGCAGACACCAAAGGCAAGTTGAGCAGGAGGGCAGGGAAATACTAGCCCCACATTCTGAGACCCTGAGCAGCTTGCAGAGATCCAGATGATGACATGTCCACCCTGATGACGAGAAAATCATTCCACACGTCTTGTCCATTTCACTTTTTGTATATCCCTAGGGCTGGTCCTTTTTCTCCATCCCCATGCCATCTCCTGGTCCCTGCCACCACGCATGCCCCCTGGATGAGGCCAGCCTCCTCACTGGCCTTCCTGCCTTGACTGCCTCTACCCACAGCAGCCAGGAGGGATTTTTAAAAAATGCAAATCTGATCACGCCGTTCCCCAGATTAAATCTCCGTGTCCCCGTGGCCCCTGGACTAAGTCCAAACCCTTTTCCCAGCCCACAAGGCCTTTCAGGCTCTCATTCCTGCCACTCAGCCCTTATCACCCACCCTCTGCCCTTCCAGGCCTTGTTCCTGCCGTTCCCTTCCCTGGCACACTCCCCCTCCCCGTTGCTGGGTGACCTCCTCTGCGTTCCGAAGCTTCCTCCAGGATGCCTCCCTGCTTCTGCAGTCCTTCTCCCAGGTGGCCCTTCCCAAGCCATCTGCTCTTGGTCTGCTCTCCCCACCCCAGGTTCCGAGCAGGGACTGTGCCTGGGTGTCTTCACTGCAGTGCTTCCGTGTCAGCTAATTGCTGACACATAACAGGTGAGGAACAAAGAGGAGCGAGGAGACTGGCTCAATGATACAGACAACTGTCTACAGCCATTTTCTTGGGCTCTGACCTACCCCAATCATGAGCGATGGGGAGGGGAAGGGGTCCCTGGCAGACGCTGGCCACTTTGTGTGCCCACCCCAGGGGGACCAGGGGGCTGGATCTAGCATGCTGCCTCCCCAGTGGGCTCTGGTGGTGCCGCTGACGGCCTGTTGGGCTCCTTTCCCGTAGCCCACCCGGAGGATGGCCACGGGGCCCTGCCCGCGGCGAGGAGGGGCGGGGGCGGCGCATGGCGGCAGTCTGGGCCTCGTGTTCCCAGTGAGCAGCAGTGGGTGCCTCTCCCGCCGGCTGCCCAGCAGGTACAGCTCCCTCACTCCGAGCGTTTCCCTGGGAGAGCTGACTTCTGCGGCAGTTCCTGCAGACCCGTGGTCCAGCCCTAGGGATAGTCTCGTCATGTCAGTGGGCGCCAGGGGCTGGGAAGGACAGCTCTGGGCCAAGCACCGTGTGAAGCTGAGATGACTGTCAATATCGACCGAGGGGAGGGGCGCACGAGGACCCCGGCTCCCGGTGCTCACGGAGAGATCTCTGCGGTGTGCCCATGGGCTAGCTCCACTGGCTCACACACAGTCTTTATGGGCGCCTTCTCTTCTGTTTTTCCAGAATCACTTTCTAAATAAACCCAAGGGCTGCGCCTGGGTACCTGGCGAACACAGTGGGGATGCTCCCCCTGAGGCCTGCCCTCCAGGCCCCTGTGAGATCCCTCCCGCCCCCTTCCCTGTCCTCTCCAGCAGCAGGTGCACGCTCTCTGCGCCCCGCCCTCGCTCTGCTCTCGGGGGTCTCACACCCTGTGCTGGGGTCCACGGCATCTCTCCTGCCGACACGGAAACCCCTCTGCCATCCGCCTCCCTCCTGGCTGCAGACCAGGCCCTGGGAGCTGTCACCACACTGTCTGAACGTGGAGCCCAAGCAACCCCCATCCAGGCCTTTTCCATCTCAGGGAGAAAGGCTGCACACCGAGTGGCCAGAAAGGTCATTCAACATGAGCAAAACAATTTAATTCCGCCCGGTGCGGCAGTCCGCCCTCTCTCGGGGCCACGGGCAGAGTCCCCGGAAAGCACCTGCTCTCTCCGCCGACAGCGGCTCCGAAGGACCGTCCGAGGCTGGCCACCTCCGGGCGGGACAGCTGCCTCCGCCCATCGCCCGTCGGGCTTTCGGTAGCCGGGAGGAGAAGCTGCCGAGAGTGCGGGGATCCTCAGCACCTTCATGCTGCTTGGCCGGCCTCCTCCTCCTCCTCTTTCCTCTCCTCCTCCTCCTCCTCTTCCTTCGCTGCCCACTGTCCGCTGTCCTTCTGCTCCATCCAGTCCCGCTGGCGGCCGCCAGGAGGAGCCGCAGCCCTAAAACACCTTCCGGGGCACACAGCCCTCCAGCTCCAGCAGCTCCGGCCAGCCTTCGTATTTGTTCTTGTTGCCCATGTTCTTTAAGTACTAGAGGCGAGAGGAGGGAGAGGCCGCGGTAATGGGGAGGCTGCGCAGAGCTCACCCCTGCTTTTGCCTGGTGCTCACTTACTTCATTCTCACCACCGCCCCCTGGTGGACAGGGCTGAGTACTACTAGTCTGGGCAAACAGCCCCAGAGAGATGCAACCTGCCCAAGATTTCAGAGATGGGATCAGAGTCTAGTCACTGATTGTCACGGTTGGGGACACCAAGAGTGGGGGTGGGACTGCAGAGTTTAGGCCCTCTCCCAAATCCTCTACCAGCCTCTCTGGAGCATCCAAAATAGTAACAAAATAATAAAAAAAAAGCTTCCTAGCAATTATTAAAGGCTTGCTCTATGTCAGGTGCGAAGTATCTTAGGTAGTTAATCCTCATAGTAGGCCTAAGAAGTGCACACTATTAACATCCCGTGACACAGATGGGGACACTGAGGCACATGGGGCCAAAGGAACTGCTTATGGCCATCCTGCTGGTACGTGGTGGAACCGCTGTATAATATTAATTCCTAAAAAATTGCTACATACCCAAGGGGATACAACCAGTTAAGATTGTGTCTAAAATGCCCAGGCTTAGTTTTTGGAAAAAAAAAATTGTAAATGGCAAAACCTACGGTTGGAGGAGTCGCGGCTAACCCTTGGTTCGAAAGAATAGAATCTAGATGCTGCTCCTCTAAAACTCAGCTCCCAGGTGTGGGGTCACATGACACGATGGCTTTCATCCATCAGGGTCTTCAGCTCATTGATGGGTGATGGGCCTCAGGCAGCTGATCATACATTTCAGGGAGAGGATGGCGCTGACGCTTCCTCTGTGCTGCCTGGATGGTCTGTGCTTTAAGGAAGAACAGCACCTGCCCTGCATCTTCCTAGAAAGTCTCGCCCTCCCCCCCACCCCGCACCTCCCACAGGGATGTTCTGGGGACCCTGGCCCCTGCCCCCCGTGTTCTCCACCCAGAGGCGCATCTCCTTTCACCTCCAGCTAGTTTGTCTTATTTCTTATTTTTAAAAAGTAACTTCTAATTAGGATGCATTCTCTTAGAAGCAGATGCCTATGAGCCAGGCTTACGTTTTCCAGACAAGGCAAACACCTGCAGCCCCATGGTGGCCTCAGCACGCGCCTCTGACTCTGCCCCCGCAGCCCTGCCCCTCCAGGCTCCCGCCCACAGAGCCCTCCAGGCCAGCCAGGGCTGCCGTTCTGAGAGCAGCCAGGACAGCAGGCCTTTGTGGAGGCAACAGACCTGGCTGAGAACTCCATCTGGCTCACCGAGACCGAGCAACCGAGCAACCGGCTACAGCCTCTGCGAGGCTCTGCTCCACCTCTGTGAGATGGGACGGTAACTGTACCCACCTTATGGTGGCTCCTAAATAGGACCCTGGGGGAGCTTGCTGAATGCTAGGCGTTCTTTATCCATCTGCTCTTGTCACTCTCCCTCTTAAGCTTCCCATGGCTCCCCACTGCCCCCAGGACAGAGTCCTCTCAGTGGCCCTGCATGTCTGACTCAGTGACCTCAGTGCCCCGTTTTGGAGCTGGGCAGAGCTGAGCGTCCTCCTCACCCGGGGAAGGCCTGGCCAGGCCCCAGGTTTCAGAGGGGTTCTGGGCAGGGGGTGCACAGATGGGGACCGCCTCGGACAAGGGGAGAAGGTGAAGTATCCTGGCCCCTGTGCTGGGCTCCCCGCCCCACACCATGCAGGCTTCACCTCTCTTCCACGCCTCACCTGCCTGGTACCCTTCTTTCCCCCTCCCCCTCCTTGTTGGTGCTCAGCCATGTGCCTATGCATTTATATAATATCCTGGCAAAGTGGTGAATGCCACGGACTTCTGGGGTGAGCCAATCAGGCCACCCTGACCTCTGGGTTGGGTGACAGCCAGATGGCCCTCCCCACACTACCCTGTGTGTCCTCCCCAAACCCCCCGCCCTACTGTCCATCCACCCGGGCCCTGCCCCTCACGCGCTCGGACGGGAGTCACCAGGAACCCACCTGCTCAAAGGGGCTCTTGTTACTCATGTCTCTGGCCCCCAAGAAGACCCAGCTGTCGCGGAAGCCCAGTTGCCGGGCGTAGGAGCTGCCCAAGTCGGAGAAGAGCTTCCGGAGTTCATCTGTCATCCTGCAGCGGACAGAGGGCGGTCAGCTCGGCCCGGAGAAGGGGGCGGGGGGGGGGGCACAGGCTGTGAGTCGCCAGGAGGAGCAGGGGGGCGGGGCCTGCGGGACTCCTCTCTGAAGGCAGAGGGGGGGTGGGGGGGGGTGCGAGCTGGGAGGTGTTAGAACGGTTCACTCCTGTTTACAATGCAATCGGCGTCCCTTCGGAAAATGTGGAACATCATAAAGTAACAGAAATTACTTCCAGCCTCGCCCTCTGGACACCATCTTTGTAAAGTTTTAATGCGTTTCCTTCATGTCCTTGAGCCACCCCAGGAAGTGACCGTGGATCCTATAATCCCCCCATGTGTTGGGGGATTATACCAACTCTTTTGTAACCAGCTTCTCCCCCTACTTAATACTAAGGGATGAACTCCTGAAACAGGACAAAAATAGTGTTGAATTACAAACTGCAATAAAAAGTGAAATAAAAAATGCTAAAGGACGAGTGTCCTTCCATGTCCTTAACTGTTTTCTACATCACCGTTCTTGATGCAGTATATCCTCCTCGATGTATACAGAATCGTGTCGTATGTCACCGCATGCCCTGGTTTCTGTAACTACGTGTCCAGCTCATCACAATTGTAACCAAGGCTGCAATGAATTTCCTAGAACCTCTCTGCGCTGGTCTGCAATTCCCTTAGGAGAAGCTGCCAGAAGACGGGGCTGGTGGGGAGCCAGAGAGGGCAGGGAGGGTTTGGCTCCCCCCCCCCCCCCCCCCCGCAGGTGGGGTTCCCACTTACTTGGTCCCGGGGTCATCGTAGGAGGCCACGAGCACCAGCACGCCCTCTGGAATTGCTTTAAGGAATTTCACCAGGAGCTTAGGATCTGGGGGAGCAAGGAGAGCAAGGTGTGGTCACTTAGGGAGAGACCGCTGGCCATCCTCGTTCCCACACCCCGCCCTGGTGACCCAGGAGTGGCCTCCCGAAGTGGTGCTCCCGCACTGAGGGGTGAGGGCGCCCCCCTCAGGTGGTCTGGCCCCGGTTATGGAATTTGCAAGTTCCCAGGTGATCCGGATGTGCATCTGGGGTGAGAACTACTGGTGGAAGGGCCCTGGGGACTTCCACTGGGGGTCGGAGGTCAGTCGACTCTCAGGAGCCCCGGGCTCTTTGCACCCCCCTCCCCAACACCCCCTTCTGCAGTGGCTATGAGCCTCGCTGGTCTTGCTGACTTAATTTTTAAAAATAAGAATAGTTAACATAGAATACTAGTTTCACATGTACAACACCGTGATTTGACATTTATATACCTTATGAGTGACACCACAGTAAGCCTACTAACCACCTGTCACCGTACAAAGTTACTACAACATTAATGACTGTTTTCCCTGAGCTGCACATTGCACCCCTGTGACTTACTTGTTTTATAACAAGAAGTCATAAACTTATTCCCCGGCACCATCTTCAGTCATCCCATCCCTTCCTCCGCTGACAACCACTGGCTTTTCTCTGTGTCTGTGAGTCTGTTTCTGTTTTTTTGTTTGTTTTTAGATTCCATATATAAGTGAAATTGTACGGGATTCTTCTCTGACTTATTTCACTTAGCCTAATATCCTGTAGGTCCACCCCTGTTGTCACAAATGGTAGGATTTCATTCCTTTTTTATGGCTGAGTAACATCTCAGGGTAATAATGACATCTTCTTTATGTGTTTATCTATTGATGGACATCAGGGTTGCTTCTATGTGTTGGCTACTGTAAATAACGCTGCAATGAACTTAAGGTGCATATGTCTTTTTGAGTTAGCAATTTGGGTGTCTTTGGAGGGCACACTCACTGGACTGCAAATAACTGGGGTCAGAGAGAGGATTTAGGCTCCTACAGCTCGCCTGTGTATATGAAGGAGCAGGCCCCGTCCCATTTGCACCTTTCTCACCTCCCTGCATCCGACACAGAGCAGGCGGAGGCGGGCTGGGCTGGGGGGGTGGGCCGAGGAGAGCATCAGTTCCCTGCTTCCTCAAGGACCCTGATTTGTTCCTGTTGTGCTTACTTTTATGGCCAAAAAAGCCGTGATGTCTTTCTACTCAGAACAATGATATAATTTCCTTTTACGATATATGTATTTACAATAGATTAAAAAGTGGCACGATTTAAAGGAAATTCTAATGAAGCTGATGGCTCTCTGGATATGGAGCAACTTGTGCAGGGGCCTGGCTTTGCTCAGGGCCAGGAGGACTGGGACATCCTAGGGGGTGGCCGTGTCAGAGAAGCTCAGGAAGCATGTCTGCGCAGAGAGAGAAGACGCTGCAGAACGACAGTGGGCACCTCACAGCTTCCTTTCTGGGCCCAGGAGGCCGCACCCACTAAGCACCCCTGTGGCCTTAAAATAAACACCCTCGCCCTGACCAGTTTGGCTCCATGGATAGAGCGTTGACTTGCGGACTGAAGGGTCCAAGTTTGATTCCGGTCGAGGGCATGCGCCTGGACTGCGGACAAATCCCCAGTAGGGGGTGTACAGGAGGCAGATGATTGATATTTCTCTCTCATCAACGTTTCTGATTTTCTATCCCTCTCCCTTCCCCTCTGTAAACATCAATAAAATATATTAAAAATAAATAAGTAAACACCTCTATCTAGCAGAGCAAACTGGGCCCTATCCCTTGTTCTTAGCATGTCAGTTGCACACATGTCTGGCCTCCAACTCCAGTCCCACCATGTCTTTCCCAGAAGGTCTTCTTTGGCCTCCATACTCTTTTTTGTACCCTGGGCCAGGCCAGAGTGTGGAAGTGCGACGGAATGAGGGGGAGTGGGAGCTGGGGATATCTCTGAGGCGTGTATTTGACTCTGGCCTCCGAGTTCCAGTTGCCTGCCGTGTTCAGTCTCTTGATAACACATGTACTGGCTGCTTTCCCTTCCCCATCTCGCTCTTCCGCTGACACTGTCGGAGATCACCACGTTTCAAAGGCCACAGGATGGCGTGAACCCCCACCACGCCTCCTTCTGGCTGTCTCCTGTGGAAACAAGAGCCAGGCCCCCCGGCACCCCGACAGCTCTTTCACCACAGGAAGGAGCTCAGCCCACCGTGACCTCATTGCCAACAGAGACGCCCACCTACCTCCGGAGTACATGTCGAAACTGTCCTGTCTCACCACCTGCCCTGTGGATCCTGAGGGGTGAGAGAGAACTATTATTTGCTGTGCTGTGTCATTCTGCCCGTCATTTGCTGGAAGATGAGTACTTTTTAGTGTAAGGCCCAAAGATCTTATCTAATGAAGATGGAATATGCAAATTGACCATAACTCCATGATCAAGATAGCCGCACCCACAGCCAATAATGAGGGAATATGCAAACTGACACAAGGCGAGAGGCGGAAGGCGGCTCTGGCCTGGAGTGAAGGTGGAAGGAAGGCCTATTCTTGCATGAATCTTCGTGCATCGGGCCTCTAGTAGAATAATAATGGAACAAAACCAGGTCCTGAAGAAAGCATGCAGGACTAAGTAACTTTCTGAGCTGAAGTGAATGGTACAACATAATGGAGGAAGGTCTCCTGGATCGAACAGAACTCCACTGATCTGGGTCTGTGTTCTGCCTTCCCACTTCCTAATGCACCACTGAGCATTTTGACCTTTTTTCTTTTCTTTTTCATCTGAACAATGGGCTTTGGGAACCAAATAAGATGTATTTAAAGTAGATAGTCAGCATGCAAAATACAATTTAGCTACAAACTAGTCATGAAAATAACCACAATTGTCTTTATTCCCACCTTCGTCGGAGCTCTGCAATTTGAGTCCTCTGACACTTGGAGGGAAAGGGATTTGCAGTGGGGTGAACCGAACGTGGTGTCCTGAGCTCAGTAATCTCAATTGTGTGTTGTGGGTTCTACAAAGGGTCCAGACCTATGGAGAACCCTGTGTTCTGGAGATGTGCTGTCTCGCTCTGTGCCACTAGATGGAGGTGTTGCAGAGGGGATGGCAGCGCTATAATCTCATACATAGGGGGTCCTTCCTCCTACCACCCAATAGCAGGCCCAGGGTTCCTGAAGAGAGTGGGGGCTGGGCCCAGGGAGTGGAGGGTGTCCTGTGGGGTGTGGGTGGGGGTGAGGGATGGCGCTCACATGGCAGCTCCTCCCGGATTCTTCCAGCCACTGCGGCCCAAGCCCCTGGGCACTTCACCTGGGCCTCTTGGACCGGAATGTGACCCTGTTAAACTGAGACCATGCGCATCTGCGGAGTTTTTTGGAATCAGAGGGAGGAGATATAGTCTGAACAGTTCCTCAGAGTGACTGCCCCCTTAAAGGTTGCAAAGCACCAGCCTTTGACAGTCCTTGTGCTGTTCTGGCTCACTGTGCGGAGGAGGCCCTGACCTTGTGCAGAGCAGGCATACGGTAGGTGCTGCGTACATGGGTGGAGACATTTCTAGTCTAGGGAGGCAGTTCAGCTGAATGATGCAGACCTGGAGCCAGTCAGATCCGGGTTAAAACCTAGATGACGTGGTTGGCTGTGTAACCTGGGGCAAGTCGCCTAACCGCCCCGAGCTTCCATTTGTCCACCTGGCAATGGGGACACTGAGCATCATGCCATGCTAGCATGGTGATGGAATAGCGAGCCCGTAGTGAATGCTCACTAAGTGCTAGCTTTTAGTATTGTTGATAGTTGTTTGTTTTCATCTTCGGACTTTGTGAGGTGGGGAAGAAGGTTCCTGGACCTCTGTCTTCAGAGACTTTTTGAGAGATCTTCTCGGGCAGGGGCCCAGTTGGAGAGGAGAGAAAACCAGCAGGTTTCAGCCTGGTCAGTGGCGGCCGGAGCATTTTCTGCAGCCTAACGGGGCTCTGAGACCAGCCCCAGCGGCTGTTGACGTGGCTGGATAAATGAATGAAGGTGTGCGCACAACCATGGGCTCATGTTGTCATCCTTGTCTCTCAAGGTCTCATGGTGTCAGTTTAAACCCCAGGGAGAAGCATGTCTCCTGGGGCAGGCGCACGCGCGCGCACACACACACACACACACACACACACGGCAGGGCCAGGCCTTTCATACCTTCTGTTCCCACAGGCCCGCGGGCCTCCCTGCCTGCCTGACACCACGGCTGACCCAGGGCACGTGGCAGGGATTGAATAAATGCACCCAGGGCCCTCTACGTCCCCCCACAGTGGGACGGTCTGAAGGGGGGGACCAGCAGCTCACCGTTCACCAGGGCGATGTTCAGGCCTCTGCCTATGTTGTCCTTCACAGGACTCATGATCCTGAAGAAGAAAAGGAAACAGAACAGGAAGGTGGGTCCCAGTGCGGAGTGAACACTGCTCTGCCGCTGGCACTCGGAGAGGCCCACGCGGTGCCCGGCAGAGCGCCAGCAGGTGCCCGGCAGGGCTCAGGCCCTGTTTCCTCTCGGACCCGCGGAGGGCTGGGTTCTCCGAGGAGTCACTCGGGCTCGGAGCAAAGGACCCAGGTTCCCTCTCCTGCCTCCTGTGTCCTTGGGAACACTAGCCTCCGTCTCCGGCCGGTGGTTCTAGGACCGCCCTCCCTCCCAGGCTTCAGCCTCTGGCCACAGTGCAGGCCGGGCACAGCCATGCGCCTGTGGACGCTCACGGGGCAGTTCAGGTGGGACGCTCTCGCCCCCACGGGGTGCTGGGTGGGGCCCAGGTGCGGATCAGCTGTGACCCCCCCACCCCCCATCTTCCCACACACTGAGGCCTGACTTCGGTGAGGAAAGCAGAGCTGGGGACCGAGGGAGAGGGAGCCCTGATGACGTGGTGTGAACTCCTGGATGCAGCTGGGCCTGAAGCCACGGCCTCTGGCCTTTTAGGTACATGAACCACCGAGGCCCTTGCTTTGCCTGAGCAAGTGGAGCAGGTTCAGATTCCTGGCGAAAACCCCTGCCTCGGGCTCCTTCCCGAGGGTGAGCTTGCCATCCCGGGGCCTTAACCACCCGGCTCTTCCTCTTGCACCTGGGAGTCCTGGCACCTCCTGGACCCAGATGTCAACACTTGGATCCTGATCTTGAATCCTCCTCAGAGGGCCCTCCCTTTGTGGGAAGCCCAGCCGCATGGCCGTCAGACAGATCTGAGTTCCAGTCCTGCCTCCACCACCAGTTCGCCCAGGGACCCTGCCTGACCCTCGGTTTCCCCATCGTTACAAAGGGGACAGCCGGGAGTGTGGGGGGCCGGATGAGGTGGAGCTGTGAGCAGTGAGCAGGGTGCCGGCAGCCCTGGAAGCTGTTAGGGTTGTTGGGACTTGGGGCTCACCCACTGGGAGTACGAGGAAGTGTGTGGAAGGTGTGGGCGGGCCTCTGAGTCAGCGGGTGAAGGAATGGGTGGATGCAATAAAGGAAAGGAAGCGCGGGAGCCCTCTGGTACTTACATGTGGTCCTCGAAGCAGATGGAGGGGCCCACGACATTGGCCGCCCCGCTGAGGATTTTAAACGCAAAGAAGTTGTCTGGGCAGGGCTTGCTGAGGTCACACTTGATCTTCACGACCTCTGGGGAGGGAGCAGACCAGTGTTGGTGGCGGCAGCTGTGTGCAGGACCACCCAGAATTCGTTTCTGGGTTTCCTGTCACAGCCCCAGCCTCAGCCCCAGGCCCACACAGTGCCTCCATCAGCGCAGGCCCCTGGTCAGTGTGTAAAGCAATGCCAGAGGCACCGTGACGAAGAGATTCTCTTGAGAACCTTCCTCGGGGGGGAGGGGGGGGCGCTTGCTGCTCAGACAGCTGCGTGTCCAGCATTTGGGGTGTCAGCATCCCTGCCCTCCCAGTGCTCTCTCCACTCATGTCCTTGACTCCGCAGCCAAGGTCTCCACGGCAGCCTCAGCCTCCGTGCCTCTGAGCCTCTGCAAAGGCTGTTCCCGCCTCTACAAGGCACAGCTGAAGGTCACCTCCTCCCTGAGCCACCCATCCCATGGGCAGGGGTGGCCCTCCTGGAGCCCAGAACACTTTGCCCCACTGCTCTCGACAACTGACACTTCTACCCCAACAGATAATGACACCCCCTTCAGGGGCCCCTGCAGGGACCGTGAGCCAAGCTTGTGGTCATTGCCATGGTGACAATAAGCACAGCCTCCGCCTTCGGGGGACAGCTCAGCCATTCCTATCGGCCCGAATGGCTGGAAGGGGCCGTCCCTGCCACAGGGCTCAGGGGGCCGGAGGCCACAGTGGGCGGTGGGAGGAGAGAGGCGGGCAGGTCTGGAAAGGAGATTTTTCTGGGACCTGAGGGCTGGGGCTAGAGGCCCTGAGCACCTCACTAAGGCCAAGGGGGTGCTGGGAGACACGTACCGATCTTCTTCGCGGAGCCTGGGCCTGCTGGAGAGAAGAAGAGTCTGCTTAGTGAGGAAGTGCTCAGGCCCTCCCTGCAGGTGGAGGCCGGGCTGGGGCTGGAGTGGGAAGGGGGACTGACAGTGGTGCTGGCCTGGCTGAGCGGAGACCCCTCCCGTGGCAGGTGCTGAAATGAGCTAAAGGTCCCATCTCCTCTGTCCTTCCTCACTTGCCACTGATACCCTTTCTCTCTCTCTCTCAGTCTCTCTCTCTCACACACAAGCACACACAAACGTGCACACACACATACACACCCACATACCCACACATACTCACACACACAAGCATGCACAAGCACGCACATGCACGCACACACACACACATGAGCACACATATAAGCATACACACACAATCACATACAGACACACAGGCACACAAATACACAAACATATAAAGCGTACAGAGTATAAAGCTGGAGCCTGCTCCTGGCTGGGTGTGGGCTGTGGGTTCCCCTGACTCCACGTGGAGGCCACCTCAGGCTGTGGAGCCTAGCCAGTGAGGGCAGGCTGTGAGGGTCTGAGGCCTGACTTCGGTGAGAAAAGCAGAGCTGGGGACCGAGGGAGAAGGAGCCCTGATGACCCGTGGTGCCCTGGCCTCGGTGATGGGCGGAGCAGTGGCTGGTCAGGTCAGAGTTCCCTTTCCTGATCCCCTACCCCGGCTGTCTGCTCCAGGCGCAGGGCCGGGTCACTGCCTAACGTCTCATTCACACTGAATTCCATTGTTTCAGGGGTTCCACCGTAGATCTCCCTGATACTGGCAGTGAGTCCTAGCAGACAGGGCCCCCACAGAAATCCTAGGGGTGGGAACTCTCCTCTTCGGGGGGGCCCACAGAAACACTTCCCATTTGGTCATCAGGGGCTGTTCACCCTGGAGTGTCCCTCCAAGACTCCAGAGGTTGACTGGGACCCAGGCGGGAGGTCCTGATATTACATTCCTCAGGACAGCCCTTCTCAGGGGCAAGGAGGGGGTGCTATGGCCCCGAGGGAGAGGGAAGTGTCTCAGCTCAGCGGGAGGATGAGCACAGGAGAGCTGGTAGCCATCACGCCTGCCTGAGAGAGAAAGCTGCCAGAGAGGAGGTTAAGGAGCAACCAGCAGAGCAGGACACGGGGACTCAGCTTTGTGAGGGCCCCTGGGTCCGGCCACACCTGAAGCCCGCTATCCATGGACTCCCCAGTCACATGACACAGGCAGTTAGAGCTGGGCTCGTCACGTTTCAGCCAGTTAGAGCTGGGCTCGTCACGCCCATCAGAAAGACCCTGCCCAGTTTGCCAGGAGACAAGGAGTTCTTAGCCTCCTGATTTCGGTGCCTGGACCTGTGGTGGTTGGGGAAAGCCGATGAATACATTCATTCCCAATGGTCTTGAGGCACTTAGTGCCTCCGACCATAACAGTCTGCAAGTTACCAAATCATGAAATAAAATAGATTGGATTAGAAAGGAAACCAACTGTATATCAATATATCACAACATATTAGAAGATAAGTGTGTATCCTAGTAACACATGTGCTTCTATATTAATGCATTATCTACAAGGTGGGGTCTGTGCAGCCGGGTAAGGATCTCTGAAGTAACTGAACGTTACCTCTTCCTGCGCTGGACACTAATGTGTTTTTGTTGTTGTTACTCCTCACCTCAGGGCATTTTTTCATTAATTTTTTTAGACAGGGTGGAAGGGAGGTGGAGAGAGAGAGAGAGAGAGAGAGAGAGAGAGAGAGAGAGAGAGAGAGAGAGAGAGAGAAACATCGATGTGAGACAGACACATCGATTGGTTGCCTCACACATACGCCCCAACCAGGGCTGGGGATTGAGCTTGAAACCAAGGTACTTGCCCTGGACTGGAATCGAACCTGGGACCCTTCAGTCTGCAGGCTAACACTCTATCCACCGAGCCAAACTGGCTAGGGCAACACTAACAGGTTTTGAAGTTCACTTTTCCCACTGGCCTATTTCCTGCCACTGCGAGCATTTCTCAGGACTCAGGTTCATGCACTCTTGATTTTGTATATTCTGTAATTAGGTCTCTGTGTCTCCCCAGTTCAAACTGTGATGGGGGGTGGAGAGGGCGGGGGTGGAGATGGAGGGATGGGGGGCCGTGGGTCCTCACTTCAGGGTCTGGGACCTAACAGAATAGTCACTTGATAATTTTGGTTGGAGGTACTGACTTGTCAAACCCCAAGTGGTTAAGTTCTGGGGTCTCTTTTCAAACACTGTCTCCTCTCCCACCTCAGGCTGGGGCTCTCTCCGCCAGAGGACACCCCTGGTCTCGAATCCTGTCTGAGCCTCCATCACCGACCTGGGCCCATCTCCTCCAAGGCCGTCAGTGCAGCCCAGCCAATCTCTCGTCAATAAAAGCAGTGCCCTGGGCTGGGGACATGGCGGCCAGCATGCATCTGTATAAATCATCCTGACGGGTATAAACCGTGTTGGCAAGAAGATGAGGGGAGGGACCTCTGAGACTCCGTGGTGGGGAGCTTGTGTTAAGAAGGGTGCCTGGCTTCCGGCTGCTGTGGAGCTAAGGGCTGGCCTGGGCCGCTACTTGTTACTATGTTTGACTGCCATCGCAGGGGCTCTTTGTCTCAGAGGAGGACAAATTCAGAGGTGTCAGTCACTGCCCTTCCCCTCCTGCCTTTGATAGGATTTGGATCTGGGAGGCTTGGGTTCCCATTCCTATTCTGACATCTACAAGGGGAATTTGGAAGCTTCTGTTTTCTCAGACCACACATAAAACCACAACATGGATCACCCTGGGGGCCTTTGTGCAGATTAAATGAGACTATGACTGTAAAGCCATTAGCAACCATGACCACCCATCACCCATTCGTCATCCATCCCTCCACCCCCCCCCCCACCCATCACCCTTCATCCATCCCTCCACCCATCATCACCCATCACCCATCCCTCCACCCATCCATTCACCCATCCATCCATCACCCATGTATCCATGGGTTGTTGTGGAGACAGACAACAACCAAGTGAAAAACAAATAAATGACATTGACGAGAAATGCAGCTGTAGCTGGGAGGTCAGAAAGGCATCTGAAGAGGTAAGATCTGAGCAGAGACCTGAAGGCTGAGAGGGAGCTGGCCACAGGGCTATCTGTGTGAAGAGGGTCCCAGGCGGAGGGGACAGCCAGTGCAGGGGAAGCCACTCGATGCACAGACAGTTCTCTCCCCGTCCCCTCCCTGCTCTCCTTCTCGGGTCTCATTTCCAAACTAGCCTTCGATGCTGTAGGCACATGCTTTGGCCAGGGCCTTGGGATACTTCTTTGTTCCCCACGGGCTCCAGGCTTTGGACAAGCTGGGGGGTGTCCTCTCTCACCTCCCATCCCACAACGGCCGGGTGCCAAAGACAAGCCCACACTCTGTCATGCCTCCGGGGTCCCCAGGGATGGAGGGAGGGAGAGGTCCTCGGCCCTTCGCCCAGGTCCACAGGCCTTGCCCCAGCCGCGAGCGGCACTCACCCAGCCAGCGGGGCAGACGGATGGTTTTCATGCGGAAGCTCACATAGCTGCGGATAAAGATCAACGAGGTGACCAGGGCAAAGATGAAGGCCAGGAAACGAAACAGTCCTGCAGAGCAAGGAGACACGGACATGTGTCCACAGCACCAGACGGCATCGCAAAGCAACGTGGCGAGACGGCATGCGAGTCCTTGCCCGATCCACACAGTGGGACCACGTCATGAGACCAGTCCCTAGGCCAGTCCCTAGACCCCACGTTGTAGGTCACGCCACATCCACACTGAGAGCCGTGTGAACCACGTGATGATAAGAAGGGGAGGTGGTGCTGCATGATGACGGGCCTCTCTCCCAAGTGGGGCCACGGGAGAGAAAGTGAGAAATACACCTTCCTGGAGTGCCCCAGAGAGAGACGCTCCAGGGGCGAGGCCTGGGAACCCGCCACAGGCAGGCAGGAGGCGGCGCTGCTGCAGACAGCCGGGGGTGAGCCTGCGCAGCCGCCAGGAGGGCCCTGGCCAGTGCGGGCACCGCCCATCGCTGTGTGGCCTCGGCCGGAGCTGGGCCTCTGAGTTGGAGTCCCTCAGTCGCAGAGTGAATATGGCGACACCCTTGCCCCTGAGCCCATGCTTGCTGGGAGAAATGTGATTGTTGTCACCGTTAAGCAGCCTCCAGGGCGGCTTGGGGGTGGCGTTTGTCCCCACATTTTTCATCAACTCCCCCCAGGAGCCGCCACAGATAACCACACAGCTCTCAACAGGAACACCAGACAGAGCGGCCTCCCCTGCCTCACAGACACATGCTGCCTGACCCCTTCCCATCGCTGGGGACCAACCCACACACGGGATGGGCCACCCTGAGCTCCCGGTCCTGCTCTTCATTCTTCCATGAGGTGAGAAGCAGGCTCCAATCCGCCTCCCGCCCAAGGACACTGGTGGCTGCTGCTGCTCCCGGATCCAGTCCAACCACCAGGCCAGAGCCCTGGCTCCTTGCCTGACCCCCCCCCGCCCCTCGTCGGCATCACGCTTCTCCTCAGCCCTGAATTCAGCTCTGTGACCTTGCGCTGGTCCCAAGCTCCTTGGGGTGGAGCGAGACCGCCTCCTGGATGCTGTAGGGCGGCGCGCAGGCATGTGGGATCCTCATCCTCAAGGACACGGTGTGGCTATTTGTGGGATTTTCTCTCGGGGATCACATTACACAGCACTTGTTCTGTGCCAGGCACCGTGCCAACAGCTTTCACCTGCGTCCTCTCAGTCCATCCTCACAGCAGCCCTGTGCTGGGTCCTACTGGTTTTTCCTATTTTACAGATGTGGAAACTGAGGCTGAGGGAGGTGGCCACTTGGTGAGAGAGTAAGGCCTTGAAGGCAGGCTAGTAAATTGGCTTTGAAACTCAACTCCCTCACTGCTGTTTTGGGATGTCAGGGACTGTGTTCATTTCCTAGCCAGTGCCTCAGTTTATCTGTCCAAAGGAGGCACAGCATGAAGGCACAGTTCTCTTCATGCCCAGCCCGGTGGTATGAGGATTCTGGAAGGGCTTTCCTTGAAGCAAATATTGTGTCCCTAATTTCCAGTCAGGGTCAGGGCTTCCCAAGCTGAGGACTCCCCATGATCCCAGCCGCACTGGGGTCCCTGCACCAAAGGTTTCCCAGCCCTTCAGCCTGGAGGCGGAGTCTCCTCGTCCGATCCCCAGGCTCGCCCTGGCTTGGTTTCCTCCTGGAATTCCGGCCTGAACGCTTGTCACCGATACAGCCAGGTGACCTCTGAGGCCAGAGCAGCAGACACTGCCGACAGAAAATGATTCCAAGCCAACCTCGGACCCAACCTCAGGCTCTAGAATCTGGCTCCCGGTCCTACCTGATGGTCTCATCCTGTCCCTGGAGGAGTGGCTGGGGCTCAGCGGAAGCCTGTGAGAGAAGAAAATCGAACTCAGAACCGGAGCTTGGCTCTCCCACGAGGGTGACCAGGGGTCTGAGTGAGCGGACTGAAGGCCAGGGACCGGACCTCTGAGTGAGGCCACCGTGCTTTCCGATCGGCGCCTTCCCATCTGCCACGTGGACAGAGCAGCGGTTTTCTTTCTCCCACTCTGCCTCCACCTCTCCTTCCCTGGGATTTGATAGTCATCATGGCTTTTTCACGTGTAGAGGTTAGAGAGTAAAGTGCAGTCTGCCAGCCACCATCTCCTGGAGAATTGATTTATTTCCCCATCCATTCATTTTCTTGTCCATCCACCCACCCACCCATCCATCTACCCACCCATCCATCCATCCATCCATTCTCTTGTCCATTCACCAACCCACCCACCCACCCATCCACCCACCCATCCATCCACCCACCCATCCATCCACCCACCCATCCATCCAGCTGAGAGACATGAGCTAGCGAGCCCCACGGACACCATCAGGGGTCTTTGCTGATGGAGCAGATGAAGAGCGATCAGGGCCCGTGTATTGCAGGTGGTTTGCTCTGCTGCTTTAACCCTCACAGAGGCATTTTCGGGGAGTAACTAAGACTTGCCAGAGCTCAGCTCAGGGTTGCTCAGCTTGCAAGGGTCAGAGTGGAATCTGGATGTGAGTATCTGCCACCCCTTCCTCACAGGGTCCCCCGCCAGGGATTTTTGTCTGAGAGGAGAGTTGAAATACAAGTTTCCTCCCCTTTAGAGTCCTGGGCAAGGGGAGGGTCAACCTTGGGCCCACCACACCCCAGGCTGATGCCCAGACGCTGGACAGTTACCAGTGATTCGGCAGCTTTGGCTCTGGAGGTGCTGGGCTGGAGACACCGTTTCAGGTCTGGGCCTCCCCACAGCCAGCCTAGGGCCTCTGAGGGCCTCTGACAGCAGCGACTGGCTTCTCCTGCTCTTCCTGTCTCCCAACCCCCCAGAATCTTCTTCACCCTAAGAATCTATCTCAACAGACATGGAGTCCGAAGCCCAACCACCAAGGACCAAGATATGAGCTCAGCCAGGGACCTGGCACTGAGGCAGGTGGGCTGGATCTGTCGTTGATATTTAAACAACAGCGACAACAAAGGCAAATCCACGTCTCCTCTAGAGAATTCTACAAAACCCTCTGTGCTAGCTCAACAACTCCTCCAGGGCCTTCTAGATGAGAAGCGGAGTGGTTGCCTGGTACCACCCACAGAGATTTTTGTACATGTTACCTTCCTGAAACTCAAGTGACCAATGTCTCCCCCCCCCCCCCCCCCCTGCCTATAAAAATGTATAACTTGAATGTTCTTAGGGGTGACCTCTATAGTCCAGGAGCTCAGGCACCTGGATGAGGCTCAAAGGACAGTCTGTGGGGTCCCCTGTGCATGGAGAAGTTAGGATAACTGGGGCGGACAGGAGGGAAGGGCAGGGGCAGACAGAAGGGAGAGGGACAGACAGGTGAATGGACAGATGTGGATATTCCACAGGGAGCATGCACAGAGACAGACTAGAGAGACAAGGACAAGGGGAGAGGGAGATGGACAGACAGAAACAGAAGAGAGACCAGGACAAGGAGGAGAACAGAGATAAAGAAAAACTATCACCTGTGTACAAAATGAGAGAGAGAGAGAGAGAGAGAGAGAGAGAGAGAGAGAGAGAGAGAGAGAGAGAGGGGGGGGGGGAGAAAGATGCGATAGGGGCAGGGCATATACCTGGGCAGGGAGCTAGCCTCTTGCTGTCATGCCCGGGCCAATCAGAGACCCTGGCTTCAGGGCAGGGGCAGGGGAGGGACAGGGACGGCCTGCTGTCCCCCCTGGATGAGCCCCCACTACCCTCTCAGCACTGCAGGGCTCTGCGCTCCTGAGTCCCCAGTGGCTCGCCCAGCCGGCCGCGGCTGCTCTGGCGTTGAAGCCAGGCCTGGCCTGCTGGGTGGGAGGGAGCACAGCACCAGGGGCAGGACTGCAGGCTGGGTGGACAAGAAGTCCCTCTGCAGCCACCCAAACCCCACACAGTTCCTTTCTTCCTCGTTTCTGCTGGATGTCACAACCTGTTATTCAGCTTAGGGTGTTCTGGGCCAGGGGACAGGGAGTGACGTTCTGCTCCAGCTGGGTGGCTGCTCGGTGGGTGATCACAGGAAGGTGGGGTGAGGGGGTGGGAAGTAGCGGGAGAGGGGTGGGGAGTGGGAAGTTGAGAACTGCTCTACTTCTCCCTGACTGGAGAGCCCACTGTCGGCCTCACTGTCCTGGAGCCTCTCTTTATCCTGACCCTCCCCCTGAACCCCTTCTGACTGGTCTGGCCAAGTGTATAAGCCCTTTTTGTCCCATGGCAGGCAGGCCTTGTCTCTGCACAAGTCGAGCACGGAGGAAGTGCGTGGGTAGATTCTTGCATCGTCTTAGAACGCTAGGCTCATTAAGCTACCAGCTGGAGAAGGAAGCTGAAGTTCAGAGAGGGCAAGTGACGTGTCCAAGGCCACACAGCCAATTATGGATTTCATTCCCGAAGAATTCTCTGAGCACTGGTGGGACGGCAGGCTGTGCCGTAGGCACAGGGGATACTGCTGTGAGCGAGACACTCTCCGGAGCAGCCTGGGCCTCCGCATTGCTAGGCCCTCTGTCTGAGCACCGTCCTTCCGCCTCTTAGCCTGGGACACTCCTCCTCGCCCTGCAGGCCTCGGCGTAGAAGTCCTTCCTATAGGTTAAACTCTTACCTGTGCTCCTGGATGCAGGGACACCCACCATGGTGCCCTGACCCTGTCCGAGGGCGCTGGGCCAAGCAAAACTGAGTTTTCTTGTGATTGGATCAGGAGGGAACATGTGACTCAAGCAAGGCCAATCAGAGTTTTTCCTCGGATGGGTTTATAGGAATGGGGAGGGAGGCTGTTTTCTCCTGATAATGCTAAGCTGGACATCAGTAAGCCTGGGGCTGCAGGCACCCCTTTCTCCGCCGTTACACACACTGCCTCCTGCTGCAGACCAGTCGGCCAGCAGATGCAAATGCCAGGGCTGAGCAGTGGGCGCTCTGGAGGTTTCGGTCCTGAGAGAATCAGGCAGTGAAAGGCCAATGACCTTGGGGAGAGAGTGGGCTTTGTGAACTGGCAGACCTGAGCTGCCACTTCCTAGTTGTGTGTCCTGGGGCCTTGGCTCCCTCTTCTGTGCAATGAGGGTGATGCTATTCGCCTGGCAGGAAAGGGGCGTGGGGCAGGGAGGCCACCTGTCCGGATGGGCTTTGCTGGCCAGCTGGCCTCCGCCCGGCTCCTCCCTGCTGGCAGCCCCGCCACCTGCTGCTTCCTGCTGGTGCACCTCCATGGCCGGCTCCCAGCGGATGTTTGTGTTTGTGGTTTCTGTGCAGCCAAAATGCCACCAGGGCAGCTCTCTGTGCCTGGTCGCTGGTGACAGTTCTTAATGGTCCTGTGGGAGCCGGAACCTGGGCTTCCTACTGATTCCGGAGACCTCTGCACAAAGGGGCCTTTCAGCTCAACCGAGGCCTCCGGGAATCCCCTGGATGGAAAGGGGCACCCAGGCCCATAGTACACGTGCAGCGATTGTCATTAGAGAGAGGAGAGTGGCTTCCTGCTGGAAAAGGAAAATCATGAGGAAAAGCAGACTGCTGCCCCTATCCTAATGGCAGCTTCCTCCTCCCAGGCCCCCATTTTCTCCGAAGCTGAGCTCCGCCCAGGGGACCTGCTCAGCCCTTAGAATCTCACGCGCCTCCTTGGGATGTTTCAGCTCGGGCCATTTCCTCCTCTTCCCTGGAAGTGCTGTGGATTAAATGTCACCAAGGGCAGGACACTCTGTTTCCCCTGGCATCTTTCTGATGTGGGTGTGCGAGCAGGGAGTCATGGCGAGGGAGGCCCGCATGCCTGGGAGTGGGGGTGGGAACCGCAGAGGGAGCGACAGGGTGTGAAGGAGAGGTACCCGGGAGGACAGACTGAGACAGAGGTTGACAGATGGGAACAGAGCAAAGAAGACGGAGAGACACTGAGAAACTGAGTGACAGCCCTGTGTGACACACACACACACACACACACACACACACACGTGTCAGGGCCTAGAACCAGGCATGGGTGTGGCCTGCTTGGACCCAGTTTTCTCTTGCCCTGAGTTTCCCACCTTCGGGCTCAGGCCTGTGTGGGGTAAACAAGTAACCAGAGGTGCCTCCTCCACTGAAGGGTCCTTCATGTGAACTCCTGTGTTCACAGCAAGCGTGTCAGACTCGAGGCTGCAGGCCGTATGCCTCGTTTATTAAAATTCCTGAAATACTCCTCAGACAGAGACAACAGGCCGGCCTTATTTTCACTAAGTTAATCCTACAGCAGCTCAGTGAGGGGTCTGGGGAAACTGAGGCACAGAGACGTCAGGTCTCACAGCTGGGAGGAGTCAGAGGGAGAAAGGATCTCAGAGACAAACCCAGACAGAGATGGACCTGGGGGCCGCATTCTCAGCTACTCGTTCCACTCCTCCAGGCCAGGCCCGAGAGCAACCTGGGAAGGCACAGGGAGGAGAGCTTCGTGGGCCCCTGGTCTCAGCCATGAAAGTCACCTCTGCCATTGCCACTGCCCAGGAAAGCAGCGTGGACAGTGTGGGCATGACAGTGTGGTTCCCCTTAGCCCGAGGTGGGATTGAACCCTTCTGCTCCCTTTGCTGGGTGTCAGTTGCCTGGGTTTGGTAGGCTGGGCTGCAGCAGAGGTGGGGTTAGAGCAACGGTGGGGAACCTTTTTCTGCCAGGGCCATCAGGGTATTTATAACACTATTCAAGGGCCATCCTAAAAATAAAAGAGCAATATGCAAATTAACCATCATTCTGATATACCCACCAGCCAATCAGGAGCAAATAAGCAAATAAACCCAACCAAAATAGCTATGGCCACAGAGAGCAGGAGGGAGGCTTGTGTTTCCTCAGCAATGGAGGAAGCCAAGCTTTCCACCTGCCCTTGCCAGCCTAGGCCTTCACTCAAGGCTACAGAGTTTCAATGATAGTAGATACAGAGATCCAAACAGAAATGTGGCAGCCCCTGAGCTGAAAAGAGCAAGAGGCTAGGCCCGCAGGCATCTTCAAACTACGGCCCTCGGGCCACATGCGGCCCTCAGAGGAGTCTGATCCAGCCCGCCAGGTTTTTTGGGCAGTGAGCGCAGCCGAGGTCTTACAGTAGGAATTAGTAGTTCATATAGTCCGGCCCTCCAGCTCTCTGAGGGACCCTGATCTGGCCCCCACTTTAAAAAGTTTGAGGACCCCTGGGCTAGGGTTGCCCTGGTGATGGAGGAAGCCAAACTTTCTGCACACCCTGCTGGTCCAGGCCTCTGCTTAAGGCTACAAAGTTTCAATTATAGAAGATACATAAACCCTAACAGAAATGGCTGCTGCCACAGAGCAAGTAGAAGGCTTGGTTCTGCTCCAGGCTACAAAGTAGAAGATAAATAAACCCCAGATACCAGGGCCTCTGTGTGGGTTGCCAGAGGCATGGCTGGCCTGCAAACCACCACAGGCCCCTCGCCCAGGCTGCCCCACACCCCAAGTGAACCCCCACCCTGATCTGGGACATCTTTCAGGGCAAACTAGATGGCCCCTACCCATTTTAATAAAAGAGTAATATTAAGATTGACCATCACTCCAATGCACAAGATGGCTGCCCCCATGTGGTCATAGATCCTGCCCCCATGTGGACACAAGATGACCACCACAAGATGGCCAGCAGGGGAGGGCAGTTGGGGGCAATCAGGCTGGTAGAGGAGGGAAGTTGGGGGCAACCAGGCCTGCAGGGAAGGGCAGTTGGGAGAGACCCAGGCCTGTAGGGGAGAGCAGTTGGGGGGGACTAGGCCTGCAGGGGAGGACAGTTATGGGTGACCAGGCCTGTAGGGAGGGCAGTTAGGGGCAAACAGGCTGGCAGGGGAGCAGTTAGGCATTATTAAGGCTGGCAGAGGAGTGGTTAGGGGGTGATCAGGCTGGCAGGCGGAAGCAGTTAGTGGCAATTAGGAAAGCAGGCAGGAGAGCAGTTGGGATCCAGCAGTTCTGGATTGTGGGATTGGGCCTAAATGGGCAGTCAGACATCCCCCAAAGGGTCCCAGATTAGAGAGGGTGCAGGCTGGAATGAGGGACACCCCTCTCCACTGTGCATCAATTTTGTGCACTGGGCCTCTAGTACAAAATAATCAACTTAAAAATTAGCCTGCTATACTTGATCAAACATTTAATGAACTCACCCCAATGCCTTGGCCGAGCCAGACCAAATGATTTCCGGGACCTTAGCTAGCCCTCATGTCTCCCACCCCTGGGTTAGAGTCCCTGATCTTCTGCCCCTTCTCACTTAGGGAGAGGCTCCGCCAGCCCCCTGCTCTGCAGGGCTCAGCTTCCTGCTCTGTCCTCATGTGGGTTTTCAGGGGGACTGTCCTCCCAGTTCACTGACCAGATTATCACCTGAGGGTGCTTTGCTCAGTGCCAGCCCCTAGAGACCCCCAGGGAGGGGCAGCTTGGGCCATATTTGCACATTTGGGTTTGCAGAGGCTGCTTCTGGTGTGAAAACTGCATCTGTGTAACATGGCAGTTAAGAGCAGGGCTTTGCACACAATCCTCTCTCAGGCTCAGTTTCCTCATCTGTACACGGCCACCATGATCTTTAATGCAGTGAAGGCTAAATAAGAGGGTGCACCCAAAGAATACGGTACTGAGGAGGCACTCCTGTCCGCTAAGCAAGCAGGCCCCTTGCTTTGCCCCTTGGTCTTGTGCCCTCTGCCCTCCCCCGCCCTCCCAAGGAGGCAGAAACCCCTCCAGGATGAGAGAAAAGTGTGCCCAGAGGGGAACGGGCTTCTCCAGGCTCTGCCAGAGCAGCGGGAGGAAGGGGAGGCTGTGTGGTCCATCATGCAGCCCCTTCCCCCTAGTGTTGGGGGATGGGATGACCTGAGGCTGAGAGCATCTTCAGTTCCTGCCTCATTGCTGAAAGTTGGCTATGAGAGGACTGATTGGACCAGGGAGGGGCTGCCTGGAGCCTCCCCCTGACCCAGCAGGCCAGCTGGCGGCCCCTCTGAATCTCCCCAGCAGGTGGAGCATGAGGAAGCGCACTTCAGACCCGGGGGTGGGTTTATTCCTTCCCGCAGAGACTGCTGGGTGGTGGCTGCTGGGACTAACTAAGGCCAGGTCCGGGGGAGGCACTGAGAGAAATCTTCCTTGGGGAGCTGTGGGGTCCAGAGATCTCGGGAGGAGACAGAATCTTACTAATAAACATGATAATGATCCTACTAAGTATTATTGTTGTTAGCCTGTCCTCTCATTTAATCTTCCCAACGATCTTGTGAGGCAGATTATCTTATTAACTGGCCTTTACCCTGGAAGAAACTGGGCGCAGAGAGATTAAGTGGCATGCCCAGGAGAAAGTGACTCATACAAGTAGAATGCCAGTAGGCATTGCTACTCATCACCTTAGTAACCGGGGTGGTTGGAGCCAGGGGTGGTGGCCACCTGTCCAGCATCCATTCCCCCTTCTTCTAATGCTCGCCTCACACCATCAGCAGGTGGGGGGGGCTGGCCCCATGTCTGGCTCCAGGGGGCCAGGAGCCCAGGCCTATCTGATGGACGTTCCACCTCTTGCTCACAGGGGCCTGTAGCCCTCACACAGGCTGGCCGCTGCCCAGTGAGAACTGTGCTGGGTCAGACAGGGGTGGGCTCATCTGAGGAGGAGCTGCCCAGCCCAGCATGTTGGCAAACTATGGCCTCAAGCGTCCCCCACCCCAGGAAGCACCCCTTGGCTCTGTAGACTCTCAACTTCCCATTGGGTCAGAGTTGCTGGGCCTGTGTGTACACACGGAGTTGGGCTCAGAAGGAGGCGTGAAGAGGACAGCCATCGGACAGACCCCAACGGCAGCTGCTCCTCCTCAGATGAGATCAGCCTAATACGGGCTGGCCTGAGGCGGGCAGAGGATGGCCTGTACGGGGGCTGGCAGATGCACTAGAGCAGACAGGCAGATGGACAGACTGGAGCAAACACTGGACAAAGCCCAACTCCTCCCCATAGCCGTGCTTGGCCTGGGAGTGGCCACCTCGCTGTTACTTTACCTCCCACCACCAGCTCCTGCCTCCTCTGCAGAGCTCCCCCTCCTCCCCTCCCCTCTCTCCCCATCCTTCTCCTCCCTCTCCTCCCAGAGCCTGCTGTGTGCCAAGTGCCTACCCATCCTGCTCTCCTACCCCTGCTACCACTGCCCTGCAAATGGAATCGCAGGGAAGTCTGTCCTGATTGCCGGCTATCTCTATGGCTCCTCTCAAACCTGGTTTGAAATGGCCGCCTGTACACATTGCTTTCCTTCCAGGCGAGGACCACGTCTGCTTTGCTCTCCTGTCTTTTTAATCATTGACTCCTTGCTTGTCTGACATGCAGGCTGAACTGCTCATCGAAAGGGTGATCTGGGAAGAGGCGCCTGCCCCAGCCCTCCTCCAGCCACGGAGGCGGAGCACTGCCCAGGGAGGGAAGCTGTTCCATCCCCAGTGCCTTGCTCTCCCACCTGCAAAGTGGGAGTAGTGATGGTGCCTCCTCAGAGAGGGGCATGAAGTGTAAGTGTGTTATTATACAGAGAGCACTTGGCGCAGAGCCTGGCCGTTACCTGCGTTTTAGTGATTATTATCGTAGATGCCAGACTGCGAGAACTACCGGTATAGGGACGAATAGGGGATATCCAGATGATCCCTCCCATTTTACAGACGAGAATATTGAGTCTTAATCAAAGGAATTGAGTCTTAGTCTGACATTACATGGCTAGAAAACCTCTCAAGACCACTACAAAAAACCTTTGTTGTAACTTTTCAGACCATTATTATTATTAGTTATTATTTTAGAAAAATGAGAGTTGGGGCCAAAGAACAACATTCCTTCTTCAAATATTTGTGTGGCTCATAGTTGAAGGTCAAGTGTGTTTGTTTAATGACTGGATGAGTGAGAATGAATGAAGAAATACCCAAAGGTCTCTGTGGTTGAGGGAAAAGCCTGCCCTGTGGGTTGTTATCAATTCCCCGGCTTGCGAGCCCCACCTCATTCTTGGGCCATTAGCCAGGCGGAGGTAGCTACTAAATCACAGCACGCTTTGCTCCGAGTCTGAACCCAGGCTCAACGCCTCACACCCTCATCGCTGTCCTCCACTAACTGATCAGAACTGGCCCCTCAGATAAAGCCACCTTCCTCCGTCTGATCTCAGAAATCTCTTTCACTTTGCGGTTTCCTCCCCTCTCCTTTCGGTTTCCTGTCCTTATTGCTACCCGCCCACCTTCATTTTCCTTCCTCTCAGTACTGTGACCCGAGGCCTCGCCCTTTGCTTTCTGATAGGAACATACCTGAGGGCTCAAGCTCCCCGCTTCGGTGGAGAGAGAAGGCAAGAGGGTCCAGCTGGGGCCGTGGGTCCCTGAGCCAGCGACCACCACCCTGTCGGAAAGTCTGGCTTCCCGGTCTCGGAGGGGCTGGGGCCTCCCAGGCGGGCCCTGTGAATGCAGCAGGCCCGGAGGGAGGATGAAGCGCCTCATGGATCACCTTCCCTGGCCAGCATCTCCTGCCCAGGCGCTGCCCTCCTTCTGAGAGGCCTGCCATAAACTCTCCCTGCCCTCTTA